GGTTGCCCAGGTGTGCAGGGCTTCTGTTCCTCATACTCTTCAAGCTGTTCTGTTCTGGTCGTTTCTCAGAAAATATGTCATGTTCTACTATGTGTTGTTTTTCTTCTCCCAGGTGACAAGAGTCTCAGTGTCTTCATTGCTGGACTTTGCTATAGGTTTCTTTGTCTTACTTTGCTGCCCCAATAGGACTTCTAGTTTCAGAATCTGCCTTAAGATCTCTCAGTACTCTGTAACTGAAATGCAGCTGAGTGATAAGGATAAGAGAGTGGCACATCCCTTATTCTTTTTTGTCATTCTAGTTTTTGGAACCTACACAGATGTGACACCCCGGCAGTTCTTCAATGTTCAGGTGAGTAAATTTTTCTTCCCAGATTTGAAGCCTCTAAGCCTGTAAATCCATCTACCACCATCCCCATGTGTAATTTCTGTGACTCAGAAGACACTGGGTTTAGTACATCTGTCTATCTCTGTACCCTTTGTCTCACGCTGAAGAGCATCGGTAAACATTTGACTTAAATTTCTTTGTCCAGTGGGGTTGATACTGATTCTGCCCCCTCACAGGGCTTTTGGAAAGATCAAATGGAAGAATGGATTTGAATGCTTTTGTTTTATAAGGTTTAAAGGTTTTTTTCCCTAAACAGTATGAGGGTAAGTTACGTACGTGGCCTTTATTCCAAAATCCTTCAGTATGTATTTCCCAAAACTAGACATGTTCTCTTAACCAACTATGGTTCCATTATCAGTCAGTAAATTTAACGTTGATGCAACATAGTCTTCTCTTTGTTGTTCTAGTTTCTGTCTGTTGACCCAGTAATATTCTTCATAGAATTTCCCCTTCATTACAGATCCAATCAGGATTTAGTAATATGGAACATTTCCACAGTGAAGGTATTTGTTTAATAAAGAGGAAGAGTATCTGTTCAGAGACTGATCCCAAATTGAGGAGTGGGGTCCCCAAGAGTTCTATGAAAAGATTTTTTTCCTTCCTGGATTTTTCATTTGCTTTGCTGAACTTCTGGGTAACTAGTTTGATGATTACAACACTCACTGGTAATATGCAAGTGCACACTTTAGCTTAAGCACTGAATTTTGTCAATTTACATTGAATTTTTGTTGGTTTGGATGTGTATGCGTCTTATTTTGAAATTCCTTAGTTATTAGTGATGCTAGAAATTTTGAAAAAAATAGGCTACTCGCATTTCTTTGAGGTGTCTGCTTATACTTTTGGACTTTTTGTCTTTTTAAAATTTTTAGCATTTTAAAATGTGTCTATAAGTTTTCTTACAATTTCCTTTGGTTTTTCTTACTTGTTAAGATTCACTTTCAAGGTAATGGCATACATGTCTATTAAGTTTTCTTATACTTTCCTTTGGTTTGTCTTTTTCTTATTAAGATTCACTTTCAAGGTAATGGCATTGGCTATAAGAAGGGGTTTTAAAAGGCTTACCTATAGTAAACACAGTCAGGTCTTACACATTTTGGCATTGTCTTTAGGTCAGGTCACTGTTTCAGAATAAGATCCCTGAGTCAGAGGCCCAAGCATCTGGAGAAGCCTTCTGCAGCTTTGTTTTGGATCTCTTGGGTCTTCAAGTTGTTTTCTCTTTCCACAGCTAGATACAGAGTATAGAAAAAAGTGGGATGCCCTGGTAATCAAGCTGGAAGTGATTGAGAGGGACGTGGTTAGTGGTTCTGAGGTTCTTCACTGGGTGACCCATTTTCCTGTGAGTACTTAGTATTTGTTTTACTTTTATCATGTCCATGTGAAGCAGAACAGTAACCCTGCCCCTCTTTTTCTTTAGTATCCGATGTACTCACGGGATTATGTTTATGTTCGGCGGTATAGTGTAGATCCGGAGAACAACGTGATGGTGTTGGTGTCACGGTATGTATTGTTACCTGTGGCTCCTGCTGTGTCCTTCATTCACACACGTCCCTGGTGGGAGGTTGCACTTTCTCAGTGCCCTTATGTGTGCAGCCAGGGCACCATCCATTCCAGCTAGAGCAGGAGAGGGCTGTGATGGGTGACTCCGGGGAGATGGAAAGGTATAAGCTTTCATTAACCCATTTCTTCAGTTTCTCCTGTTGGTAATTAATAAAAGACATGCTTTCTTCTTCAACACAGACCTAATGGGCCAGAAATTGCCAAGGGACCTACCTCCCTTTGTTGTTAGAACTTGTTTGTATTCATTCATCTTAGTGACTCCCCTGTTCTATTTTAAAAATTAGAGCCCACTTTTTAGATTTTCCTGTTAACTTTAGCTCCCATGCTGTTTTATACATAGACATTACTAAGAGTTTTACTTAACTTTTTTCCCTCCCAGTGCTGTGGAGCACCCTAGCGTACCAGAGTCTCCAGAATTTGTAAGGGTCAGATCGTATGAGTCCCAAATGGTTATCCGTCCCCACAAGTCATTCGATGAGGTGAGTTTTACATCATCCAAGAGGTGATGTGCTATGGCTTTGGGATTTCTCACAGAATGCCTTTTATGTGAACTGGAAAGGGCTAGGGTTGCTGTAGGGCAGTGTTTCTCAACCTTGGCATGCATCAGAATCCACTGAACTCGTTCAAATATAGTGCTGGGATATGGTCTGATAGTTTGCATTTTTAAGAAGTTCCAAGTGAGGCTGATGTTCCTGGTCTGAGAAACATACTTTGGGGACCCCTGCTGTAGGGCACTACACCTGGAAGGTATCCCAGGGCAAAGTTGTGATGGCCCGTTGGCTCCCATTTATCTGAGAGATAGAAGATAATGGCCCCCACTCATGAACCTGTCCTTAGCAGCATCCTTAGGAACTAGAACAAGTACCTTTTCCATCAAAATCTGCCCACACAGTGGGCAGAACACTTAAAACTTTCTGGACTTCTCTTTCCTTGTCTGTAAAATGAGAGGGTTAGACTAATGTTCTCTTTACCATTCTATGACCTTACTTTGAGGAGAATATTTTCTTCAACTTAGTGAGGTGTTTTGTTTTTGTTTTTTAGCAGAATCTCTATTGAGTGTACATATTGATTCCAGTTGTTTCTGTTTTTGGTTCAGTTTTGTGTTATAGTGGCTTTGTTTCTCCCATCACTTGTATTTGTTTTAAAGCTGTGTAAACTGTGTTTTTTAGTATAGTTTTGTTATTTCACCAGGTTGTTTTATCTAAACCATCTGAAGTGGGACTCTACATATGACAAAGATGGTGGCTCACCTCCATCAATGTGGCGTTTGACTGCTGGGGGATCCTGTGTTTACTTCTGTACTATTTTTAGAGCAGTATTTTTCAAACCATGGGTTACTATTCATTAGAGGAAGACAAAATTAATTTAGTGCACTATGGCTGACTTAAAAAGAATAAATAGAACAGTAGAAACAGTGTAAGCATATTTCATGAGCCTTTGGTTTAGTTACATAAGCTATTTACCTTTAGGAAGAGGGGAGCCTAGGTTAGGCTGGGGGCAGTGTGAGACACAGACTTGTGCCTCACTCTTTTCCTTTATGTTGCTTCTGAAATGTGAACCTTGTCCATGTATTTCCTATATGGAAAAAAGTGACTTCTAGCATTACTGCCTTTACAAACCATGACCAGGAAGCAGCCAAGTCATAGTTTAGCAGAGTGTGTTGCATTTAGTAGGCACCCAATAAACAATTTCTTTCAGCTGGGGTGGGCAAACAATAGAAATTACATAATTCTTTTAATGTATTTGTGGTAAGCTCTTATAAAAAGGTGAGGCTTTAGTTGGTTCCTGGATAGAGGAAAACAGGAAGGGCACTGGAGGTGGGAGACAGGATTCAACCAAAGAGAGAGAGGAATGAGTGAGTCATGGATGTGTTCAGAGACTTATCTTAGAAAGGAAGGTAGAGGTTGGGAGTGATACATACCATTGACCTTGTATGGAGGGTACTTGAAAACTAGGCAGCCAGTTGGGGTTTTCTAAATGGAAAGTAAGTCCTTGAGCCAAGGGATGGTGTTTTGATGTACTTCTTATGTGGACAATTTGAAATGTATTCAAAAGATAAAGAAGTAGAGAGAATAATATAGTGAACTATTCTGTATCCATCGCCACCTCCAGCAGTGATCAACTCATGGCTGAACTTGTTTTATCTGTTCTCTTTCTTGTTCATTTCTCACTCCCATGATTATTTTGAAGCAAATTCTAGGTTTGCTATAGAAGAACCTATAGAAGAATACTTATATAGATATTTTAGTACTGCCCCCCCCCAAAAAAAATAGATCTTGAAAACATAATCTCATATTGGAATAATCCCTAATATCAGATACCTAGTTAATGTTCCGATTTCTCTGATTGTCCGTGGATATTTTTGTAGTTGGTTTATTTAAATCTGGACCAAGGTAAGATCCAGACATTGAAATTTGTTAATCCTGTCTCTTGATATCAGTAAGTTCCCCTCCTTTTTTTTCCTGGCAGTTGTGTTTGTTGAAGAAACAGGGCTCTTAGGGTCTGTAGGGTCTATAGTGTCCTTTAACATTCCCCCCCCAAAAAAAATAGATCTTGAAAACATAATCTCATATTGGAATAATCCCTAATATCAGATACCTAGTTAATGTTCCGATTTCTCTGATTGTCCGTGGATATTTTTGTAGTTGGTTTATTTAAATCTGGACCAAGGTAAGATCCAGACATTGAAATTTGTTAATCCTGTCTCTTGATATCAGTAAGTTCCCCTCCTTTTTTTTCCTGGCAGTTGTGTTTGTTGAAGAAACAGGGCTCTTAGGGTCTGTAGGGTCTATAGTGTCCTTTAACATGTTCCTCTGTCCCCTGTATTTCCTAGATACTGGAAATTGGATCTGTAGGCTTGAAGGGAATCAGGTTGGTTGGCGGTTTGGGGCAGAACTGCTTTAAAGTCATGTAATGTCTGATTGTCCCTTTGTGAATTTAGAAGCAACTGGTGATTATTGCTCAGATCTACTATTTCATTAGAGGTTACAAAATGCTGATTTATCATTCCTTCATTCTTTCTTCATTTACTTACATTTTTAGTTTAAATGCCTTAGAGAAAATTATCCTCATCAACTATTTGGTTTCCTAGAGTAGGAAGGGATGGAGGGAGAAATGCTTGATTTGTTTCTTTTGTTTACAAGTTTTCAAAATAATGAATTAGTTCATTCAACTCGGGATCCTTCAAGGGTAAAGTTTTATTATTTATGTATTTATTTTTAAAGAAATACCGTTAGGAAACCACAGGTATAAACATACTTGATTAGTTTTAATCCATCGAGTTACTCTTAATGATGCTCACATTGTTCTGTTTTGGCCATTAAGAGCCCTGTCTTACTGGTTCAAGTCCTTTTGCGTTGACCTCAGGAATTCCCTTGTTTTCTGGTGCTGTTAGATGTTCCTGGTTCATCTTGTACAGTTTTAGCTTTAAACCTGGAGATGAGCATTTCTTCAGGGACCCCTGATTCCTCTTAAGGAAATGTCATTTAGCCTTTTCAGAGGATAGAACAAAGTAGTAAGTTTTGTTGGTTTATTTATTTTAAAGATAAATCTTAATATTTTTAATTTGATTTCAAGACTGTATAATTTATATTTTATATCTTACATCTTTTTTCCTTTGCTGAAAAACTCAGTTCTCAACTTACTCCAACACAACTACTCATTTGATTTAACTGAAAAACACACACATCAGCCTCAGAATATTACCAACGAGATCATCAGTAATGTGATGATTAAAAATTTGTCTTTTTGTCCTTAGGATATGTACGCTTTGTACAAAATACTGAGTTTTAAAGTCATTTGAAATAGGTCCTATACTTGTGGTTTTTCCTATAAATTCAGTTCATAGAAGGTTCCTTGTTTACTTTTACTTTACTTTTGATTTTTAGATAACACTTTTTAAATTCAATTTTGTCTTACTGAATTATGAAAAAATTTGTTTTTCCAGAAAAAGTAAAATCTATAAAGTAAGAACTATTCAGAGTAATTTAGCTTGTATCCCTGTTCCTTCCACCCAGTTCCTTCCTTCTTCCTCTAGGTAACTGTTGCTTTGTTTTTTGCTTCCTTTTTAAATATAAGCAATAGTGGGTGAGAACCCAGGTTTTTTTTACTTCCCAGTCTGGGTGTTTTATAGGAAGAATAAAGTCTTTTACATGTATTTATTCATTTAGTCTTAATACCAACCCTTGCAGTGGGTGTTGCAACTATTTTCATTGTATAGACTTTACCTCTCCTACTTTACTTCCACAGTATTCCACAGTATTCAGTCTACATCTCTGTTAGGGCACCTGTTTATCCCATTCATTGGAACCTCCCAAGGGCAAGGTCTAGCACATTTTTGTTTCCTGTACAGCACCTAGCACAGTGCCAGTCAACATAGCAGATATTTAGATATATGTTGAGTAAATGAATAAAACATTCAACAATTCACTCATGGGAAAAAGAAGATGGACTCTGCTGTAAAGGTGTGAGGGTTTAAAAGTTGTACCTCTACCATCTGGAGTTGTGGCCAGTCTCCTTTGAAAAGTGCAAATGTAAAACTGATTATTTCTTACCCCTTTGGGTGGAACATAATAAGAGGTTCAGACTTCTAGGATCAGGATGGATACCTTAACTCTCCTTAATTCCCTGTCTCTTACTTTATCAGGCAATAAGAGGGCTGAGCCAGAAAGGATGGGGGCATGGGTCCCACAGTTAGATTCTGGGGTCGTCATGGTTCTCATTGATTATGTGGGTGACCTTGGGCAAAGTTACTTAACCTCTTTGTGCTTAGTGTCTTCATCTTCAAAATGGGGCATAGGAGCTATCATTGTGAGGAGGTGAAGCGGTTCATGGCACATAGTTAAGAGCTATATAAATGTTTGCTGGTAGTAGTAGTAGTGGAAGTAGAGTTAATACCATTTTGGTAAAGAGTTAAGATCTTAAACATTACGGTTGTGTGTTGGGGTCCTCAAACCACATCCACATTTGAGGAGTCACTTGAAGGACTCAGGACTCTTGATAAAATTGTATTTATGGCTAAGATTTGTTACAGTGATGTAGTAAGGATACACAGATAAATTACGAGGGAGAGACACAGGCGGAGTGGAGGCATCCCTATGTTTCTTCTCCATTCGCTGTCCTGAGAGGGCCGCGAGCACATCCTCCCCCAGCAACAAAAGTGCAGCAGCATGTGTGATGTTTCTGCTCAAGGAAGCCCATGGGAAACTAAGCAACCAAGATGTTTATTGATGACTGGTAGAGGTACCCTCTGCCTAGCAGGTACCCAAATTCCATACCCCCAGAAAGAAAGTAGGTGTTCACCATAAACTGCATCATTTGCACAAACAAGTGAGGCACATGGAGCCCCCACTTAGCAGTTAACTGTTGAGGGGAGCACTCTGGGAACCCAGTTCCCAGACACCAGAAAGGGGCCAACCCAGCAAGTAGGCCTTTTTTTGGCTTCGCAACCTGTCAGGACTTCAGTGTTAATCTTTTTCTGTACAGGGTAAAAAAAAATGTCAGTTTCTATCCCTTCATCTTCGCTGTTTTTCTTTTCCAGAATGGCTTTGACTACTTGCTGACATACAGTGACAATCCTCAGACTGTGTTTCCTCGTTACTGCATTAGTTGGATGGTTTCCAGTGGTGAGTGGGCACTTTTATATAGGCCTGGAATTTGGGTTGAGCATACTGTTTTTCTCTAGTTTCTTAATTGCATCAAGAAGAGCAATACTGGTCTCACTGGAGCTCTTGTGGGGAAGGTAACCATCCTTTCAAGTTCATTCTTGAGTACTATGAAGATATCACAGCCTCTAGCTGGAGTTTGGAGGGATGAGAATTATGTAGTCCCAGAAAAGAACTTTTGCTCAGAGGGGAGTTTTAAGAATATCATTTGCTGATGTCTTAAGTATGGACTGTGTACATTAATGCATTTGAAAATTTTCTTCTTAGACAGTGTTGGAGGCCATGAAATCTGGCTTAGAAAATGTGGTAGTTGTAGTACAGTCAGCTAAAGAAAGGGGCCACCACTTGTCTTAACAAAAGCTACACCTTTCCCTTCCGTTTTCTTGCCTTAAAAAACATCCTCATGGAATTTTCTTTCTTCTGGTTCTCTATAGGCAGCTTCTTATTTATACCTCAGGGAGAATGGAGAGGAGACTAGATGTTTCTGTTTGACATTTGTCTAAATAAAATTGGCAGTCATTCAGCTGTGCCACTGATTAGTGATACCTTAATTACCTGAAAGAGAGCCTTTTGGGATTTATATGGCCTGATCAGTACTCCTTTTTGAAGGAGCTTATAGGTCATGGGTTGTTTTCATGCCCTACATTTTGGGAGGTGGCTATTATGGGTCTCAGTCAGGCTGTGGTCTATAAGAAGGAAAAAGCCATAGAAGAAATAAGGCCTTCTAATTTTGAGCCTTCTGGTTTGTGTATCAGCCTACCCAAATTTCCTTCTCTCCCAACAGGCATGCCAGATTTCTTGGAGAAGCTGCACATGGCCACTCTGAAAGCCAAGAACATGGAGATCAAAGTAAAGGACTATATTTCGTCTAAGCCTCTGGAAACGGGTAGTGAAGCCATGGCCACCACCTTGTCTTCCGAGAGGAAGAATGAGGGGAGTTGTGGCCCTGCCCGGATAGAGTACGCTTGAAGGGCTTTGGGATAAGAAGGGACAGGCTGCTCCTTGCCCTGTCTCTGTCCCTTATCTGCTATGGAACAGGGACATGTATTAGAAGGCGTCTATAACCACCAGTGTGGGATAATTCAATAACTGGTGTCTGATTTCATTCAGAGTCCTTAATTGCTCTTAATCAGAAGAGAGAAGAAGGAGGCATCCATGGGGGTGTTGTCATACTCTCAGGCCAAGCATTTTAAAATTCAGTATTTCACTGAGCTAATCTGGAACAAGCCTCTCACCTTAGGCAGAAGGGGACAGTTCGTTTTTGCTTCCTCTGGGTAGTTTCCTCTGCCAACATTCCACTGCCCACCAACGGTTCCGCAGTGCTGTGGATTTCCTTTAGTTCTGAAGGCCAAACTGGAAAGTGCAGTTGGCTGGCTGAGTTTCAGTGAGGGGTCATCAGGAGATTGGGAGTGCTCTTGGCAACAGTCCTGGGGCTGAGGGCTGTGAACTGGTGCTTGGCAGTGTAAGTGCCTGTCCTCACCTTGCTTCTCTCTTTAGGGACTTAAAGTTTATACCAACAAACCTCTCCCTTCACTTCCCAAATACCACACCATTGACTCACCTTATCCAAAGCAGTTCCCTTTGATTTGGCCAGTTCTGTATTTGTGCACTGTATTATCTTGGATCATCACCTCCTTCCTTACCCCATTACCAAGAACACTGGGAAATGAATCCTTTTAGATAATAGCCTCCTGTGTCATCAGTGTTTTGATAGGGTTAGTGGAGATGCTCAAACATCACTTTAGTTTTTGGTTTTTTTTTCCTTGTGTGTCAAAAAGTAGAAATTGGGGAGTTGAATAGGATTTCTCCATAGTCCCACTATAGAGAAAACATTTTGATTCAGGCATTATTTCCCATACTTGAGGTTTGACTGGATGAAGAGGACTTTTCCACCTTGTAAGGCTAAAGGCAGAGGAGTGGGTTGAGTGCTCCCTTGGAGTGCTCGGAGCTGTAGGCAAGTTGTGTGATTGAGTAGGCGTAATCTCCCCCCACGTGCTAATCTTAACAGGGATGTGGTTTATGTGACCCTCTTGTTCTCTGCAGAGTTCTTTTCCTCTTCAGAGCTAAAATAAAAGCAAACTACTGTAGAGATAAAGTCACGATCAGATGGTAACAGTTTGGCTTTTCCAATTGGCTTACGGTCATACTGCAGTTTGATGGGATAATAGGGATCAAATTTTAAATCCTCCCTTCCCCCTTTTCCTAGGATTTAAACGGCCAGATTTTTCCTTTTTTTCCTACTTGCTTCCCTTTTGTGTTGTTGAACCAAGGATCTAAACCCAAGACTATCATGCCCCTTGACCTTGTTGCCTGTTAACTTTTGTGCCAAGGAAATAACTGCCCTGGTGTTTCATGTCTTGCCTTCTCTGAGTTGTAGGCAGAGCAGAGAGCTGCACTGAGCAGTCCCAGCTTCTTTTCATGGATCATTTCTCTCTCCTCATCCCCAGGGCCTGACTGAAGCCAGGGAAGAGCCCCTGGGTTATGTCTGCATCTAGCACATGTGATTATTAGTGTGGGCAGGTATGGGCCAGTGTGTGTGAGTGCAGAGGTGTTAAGGAGCTGAGCTGTGTGGTGCTCATACTCTGAATTTGGGCAATTTGACTCTGTACTTAGGGTCAGTCTGTACAGTTACTTGTGTCATTGTAATGATTTTACTCCTAACTGTGACGTTTTTATCAAATGTGTGAATAAATACATAAAGGTTGGTACAGAAACTGTGTGTCTGGATAGATGGTGGTGGGGAAATCTTGCACATTAGGGTTATTTCTTCCTGATCATAAAGTTGAAAAGTAGAGTGTTTCTACTTACAGACTTGGCATGTGGAAGTGGTGGGCTTGGTCTTTCTTGGGAGTGGCTGGCACACAGCTAATACATATGAACCCTTCCCAGGTGACCAGTTTGGCCACTGGAAAAAGCCACCTATTTGTACTTTATTATCTTGATCTACTAACCCATATCCTTTGCTTTTAAAGAAGGATCAGCTTGGAGGAAATGGTGTTGGAACTCTGTTGCTAGTCACACTTCAGAGGGAGTGAGGAGAGGAGGAAACTAGAGCAAGGGCAGGTCTAGAGTTGAGGGACAATCCAGTCCTCTGGTTGGAGCGGGAGGGTGGTGAGCTTAGTCCCCACTCGGTATGGTGGGGAGGGTCTTGTTTACAGGCAGTTTGCCTGTAAGTTTGTTCCAGGGCAATTGATACACTAGTCACTTGGAATATAACATGAATTGGGAGTTTGTGTGATTTTGCTTGTGGGGAACACTAGGTGAACACAGGTGCACCCCAGTTACTACAACTCTTAACTCCAAATTGCTCTCAGGTAATCACTGAAAAGACATCTCTACTTGTAGACTACTTGCCAGAGGTCATATCCTCGGGGGGTGCGCATGTGTCTGTAACCTTAAATTTGGAGAGCTGGTTCTGGCCTCTGCCCTGCTGCAGAGGCCCCCACACTGCATCCTTGACATGGTTCTGCAGGTTCTGCATGAGCATTTCCTGAGAAGCAGCTGAGCTCTTACTGAGAACAACATGTCCATTGTTGGCCAGCTCTGACCTTTGGAAAGTGCTTTGCATTGAGACTAAACGTGCCTCCTGTGACGTCGGCCTGTGGGTCAAACCCTGTCCTGGGAGCGGCTTGGAAAAATGCTCCCATGAGATAGTGCTTCACATTCTTGAAGACAGTGATCATGTGACTCTAAACTTTCCCCAAGCTCTATGTCACCAGCAGCTTCAAAAATTCCTCCAACTTTTTTTTTTTTTTT